CTTTGATGAATATTTGCTCAGGGATTGACTGATTCAGCCAAACCAGCCCAACGGTGCACAGTACTGAAGTGAGCAGCTCTGGATAGGAGATCGTCACACAAAGGAGGCGAGGCTTCTAGTCCTTCTAGTTAAAACAATCCCTAAGATTTGTACTGCCATTTACAGTTTTCAAAGCATTTTCGAATGTATTATTATCTCATGTAATTTTTACCAAAAAACCATGAGATAAGGCAGGTGGGTTTTTTTTCTTTTATTTATTGAAACATAATTGATTGTACTTATCTTTGGGGTACACAGTTGAATATCCAAACCTGTGTGCAATATGTGATGCTCAAATCAGGCTAATTAGTATATTAGACATTACACAATGTAATCATTTTTTTGTGGGCCTTTACCAATTTTTGGCTAATCCCCATTTCCTACCTCTGGTGGCCTCAGTTCTGTTTCCTCCTTTTGATAGTTAAATGAATTATTGTTGTGGTATCTTTCATTTTTTTGTTTATTTATCTTTTTTAGCTCCTACTTATGAGTGAGGACATGCAGTATTTCTCTTTCTGTGCCTGGCTTATTTCACTCAACATAATTTTCTCTAAGTTCATCCATGTTACTGTGAATGACAGGATTTCATTCTTTTTTATGGCAGAGTAGTATTCCATTGCATAAATATACCACATTTCCTTATCCAGTCATCAGTCGATGGACATCTACCTTGGCTCCAACTCTTGGCTATTGTATATACAGCTGCAATAAACACGGGAGTGCAGGTGTCCCTTCAACATGATGATTTCCATTCCTTTGGGTATATACCCAGCAGTGGGATTGCTGGATCATAGGCAGTTCTATCTGTAGTTGTTTTAGGAACCTCTGTACTGTTTTCCATCATGGCTGCACGAGTTTACAGCCCCACCAACAGTATAGGAGGGCTCCTCTTTGTCCACATCCTCACCAGCATTTGTTATTCTTTGTCTTTTTGATACTGGCCAGTCTAACTGGAGTGAGATGATACCTTGATGTGGTTTTGATTTGCATTTCCCTGATGCCTAGAGATGTTGAGCATTTTTTCGTGTGTCTGTTGGCCATTTCTATACCTTCCCTTGAGAAATGCCTATTCAGCTCCTTTGTCCTTTTTTTTTTTTTTTTTTTTTTTTTTTTTTTTTTG